TGGAAAAAAAATACAAAAGTTTAAAATTACTTAAGACTAAATATGCATACAGAAATATATGTTTCTTGTTGTTGACACTGTAGCAGTGATATGTAAAATACTTTATTACTACAAATGAAAAATATTTAATAGCTAAGACTGTGGTGCTAAAAAAAAAAAAAAAACATGAAAATATGTGCAGAAGCGCTCCTAAAATAACACATAAATGACAAACTCTGAAAATTACAATTAGTTATTTATTTCTGAGATTAGTAAATTTGAGACACTGTATCAGTCTGATGAGGACTGGCTGATTCAGCTTTGTGTTATTAGAGGGTTAAGAGATTTTATGAGGGCACTTTGTATTTTTGTTTGCATGACCACTCAACCACATTACGAACGGCAGCCATTTTAGCTATATTTATTTTAAAATCTAACAGTAGAAACAAACATGACAGAAAACTGTTTAATGAAAATAGAGTCATCTGGTCGAGTCGAGTTATCTGGTCGAGTTATCTGGAGACATTTTTACATTTTCACAACTAGTTAGCTAGTGACAGCAACTGTAGCATAATAAGCATGATAGCCTGGGAAGATTTCTCAAATTGTCGCTAAAAAGAGGCATGTACATGTGTATTTACTTTTACAATACTGATACAAACACTTGTGTTATAAGATGGTTTAAGACTTTTGTGAATTCTGTTTCTATGGCAACGAGACGTTTGAAATTTTGAACAATGTTAGTAACGACACCCATTCTACCTAAATGTAAATAAACGTCTAACGCCGATACGAACTACAGAGACCTGTTTAATAAAGACACAATATCTGGCAGCAGCTCACACTTTAACAGAGTCGGGTTATCTGGCGTCATTTTTACATTTTCGTAACTAGCTTTCAGTAACAATGTGCGTGTTTACATGCACTCAATAATCCCATCATAATCAGATTTCTGCAGTTATCTGATTATTCACATGGTCATGTAAACAGCATACTCTGATTTCTTAGATCAGAGTAAGGCCTAGAAATCTGATTAAGAAATCTGATAGAGAGCTGGATTTTACCTCAGTAATCAGATTTCTCAGTGCATGTAAACTCTTACTCTGATTTCTTTCAGATTTCTCAATCTGCACATGTACGAAACAGACTGCTGTACCGGAAATAAGCAGTGTTGCCACGAGACACAGCAAGACACTTTTGGAGTGATGCTGAAACCAAATACATGCTTGACGAAATGAAGGATATTATATTATAATATAATATTCTTCATCTTCTATATGATGCATGTTCATAGTTTCAGGTAAAGTGGTGTGATAATTTTTAAAAAAGCTGCGGCACGAAGTTTGAGTTTTACATTACGTTTTCATCACGTCTTCTCTGAGTTTTTCAGCTGGTTGCAAAGCAGAAATTTGATTACGGTCTGATTCATGTAGACTTGGACTTTCCCATCATCTGATTACCCAAGTGCATGTAAACGCATTGATCAGATTACTGACAAAATCTGATTTTCTGCAGTTATCGGATTATTAAGTGCATGTAAACACACTCAGTAATCGTAGCATAAGTAGCATAGGATTTCTCAAACTTGCTGACAAAGCTTGTGTATATATACTAAATTTCATAACAGTGACACAGAAATAACTTTGACTATAACTGTGGTGCTGTTTTTTTTTTTGCGCTCATCTCTTTAAAAATGCATGTGTGCAACCACTCCTGAAATAAAACATAAATAAAGAACACTGACAGCAAACACAAACGTTTATTTAACTATTTCTGGGATTAGTAAATTTGGGTAATTGTAGCAGTCTGATGAGGGTTGGCTTATTTCAGCTTTGTGTTAAAATCTCTTAGAGGATTAAGAGATTTTATCAAGGCACCTTCTAATTCTGTTTATCTGGTCATTCAAACACATTACGAATGGCACTATTTTAGCTGGTCACATACTGAAATCTAACAACAGACACAAACTACAGTAAACTATTTAATAAAAATATATCATAACACAGCGGTTCACAGTCTGACAAGTCGAGTTGTCGGGGACATTTTTACATTTTACATTTTCGTAATTAGCTAGTTAGTAACAGTAACCGTAACATAAGACATAGCTAGGAAAGACTTCTCAGACTGTTGCTGATGTATGCATGTATGTTTAATTTCATAATTGTTATACGAAAATAAAAGCACTTCACTTTTGTCCGTGGCACTAATTTATTTGCGCTTATTTTTATTTTTTTAATTGAAACATAAGGAACACTGGTAATAGTTGGCAAAATGTCATTAAAAAGTGTTTTCACAAATTCTGTTTCTAGAGGTTTAGGTTGCATTTTTGAACCATATCATGAATGACACCAATTCTAGCTAAAGACAAATTTAAGTCTAACAGCAGATACAAACTACAGAGAAGAATAAATACACAATACCACCACAGGGAGACCACATTACGACAAAGAGTCGAGTTATCTGGCGACAGTTTTACGTTTTCTTAACTAGCCAGCTAGTAACAGTAACCGTAACATTACGTATGTTTAAAAAGACCACCAGCAGCCCACGCTATGACAACGAGTCGAGCTGTCTGGCGACAATTTTTTGTTTTCTTAAGTAGCCAGTAACAGTAACCGTGAGATTATGTATGACAGCTTGCCGATTTCTCAAACTGCTGCTGACGAATCACGCATATAAATAACTTTGTAGCAGTGATATAAAAATAACACAAAAGGTCTTTATATTTAACACTATTTATATATGAATTATGGTTCTATAGTTTTATATTATCTATAATTTTTTAATGTTCATTTATAACAAGAATGAGGATAACTGACAGTAACCGACCATTACAGCATTTACTTATTTAACAGTCTTTGAGATTAGTATATTTAGGACACTGCTGTAGTCTGATGAGCGTTGGCAGATTTCAGCTGTGGGTTATTACCATTAGAGGGTTTACGCTGCGTTCACATGTGCCGCAGATGGACGATGGCAAACCGGATGTTCCATTGTTTTCAATGGAGTCGCAACGAAAAATTCTGCCACCGCAAGCGTCAGCGTTTCACAGACCACAGCAGTCTGTCGAGAGTCAAATTCTCTCAAATTTTGCCATCGATCGCAGCGGTGGAACAAACCAGATGTTGGTGTTTCCGGGAGCCCCGGACGCCACACATCTCGCTGTTGAATTTCAGATGAACTCAGTATTGTACAACAATAACAGACTGCAGAGCGCCTCCCGCCTTTCTCCACCTTATAATCAGTCTACAAAGCTAAAGCTCTCCTCTCACAATCATCATTTTCAATCGTAATATGGTCACCATAGCAACGGTTGTGCAGCTTCATGCTGTCATCGGTTGTGAACCACTACGACGAGTGGAATGACGACTTTTTTCAACACAAATACGTAAACGCAGCGCAACTCTCTAATTCTGTTTCTATGGTAATGCTTTGCATTTACAAAGCACGTTAACCTACGAACGGAACCCACCCTCGCTAAAGACAAAATAAAGTCTACACACTTAAAAAAGATGGTTCTTCATGGGTTCCTTAGTAAAGCCAAAGGTTCTATTTAGAACTATCATTTCTATACAGAACCATTTCATGCTTAAATGGTTCTTCACGTAGTTAAATCGTTCTTCAGGTTGATGGAGAATGAGTTCTACATGGTTCTATACGAACCTTTATGTGAATCTTTTGGAAAATGGTTCCATATAGCACCAAACAGGGTTCCGCTACTGTTATGATGTCAAGCTTGTAATTATAGAGGAACCCTTTTTGGTGCTACATAGAACCATTTTCAAAAATGTTCTATATAGAACCACATGCAACATGGTTCTTCAGATTGATGTGGAATGTGCTGTAAATGTCTCCGTATAGCACTAAAAACGGTTCTGCTACCGTTACAATATCAAGCTTGCAACGATTGAAGAACTCTTTTTGGTGATACACAGAACCACAAACATGGTTCTTCAGATAGATGAACAATATCTTGTATACGGTTCCATACAGAATCAAAAAGCGTTCTGCTATTTTTACGATGTCAAGAAGAACGCTTTTTGGTGCTACATAGAACCATAAACACAGTTCTTCAGATAGATGAAAAACGTGTTGTATACTGTTCTATACAGAATCGAAAAGGGTTCTGCTATTTTTACGAAGTCAAGAAGAACCCTTTTTCGTGCTACATAGAACCACAAACATGGTTCTTCAGATTGATTGGGAAGGTGCTGTATACAGTTCCATATAGAATCAAACAGGGTTCTGCTATTGTTACGATGCCAAGCTTGTAACTACAGAAGAACCATTTTTGGTGCTACACAGAACCATTTTCAAAAAGATTCCATATACAACACATTGTCCACCAATCTGAAGAACCATTTAAGAATGAAATGGTTCTATATAGAACTCATGGTTCTAAACAGAACCTTTCCCTGTACTACAGAACCCTGTTTTCCATGAGTGCAGCAGTAGACAAACACAGAGAAGTGTTTAATTAGGACTCAGTATCGCTCAGCAGTTCACATTACTGCGGTTTTAAATGTTCCGCTGAGCATTTCGTGACCAGCGAGCTTTCCGAGTTAATCACAGCGGAACCCGTAACGTTCCGGTAGCTTAGCTAGGTTAAATTTCTCAGCCGTTCGCTGACGAGTGCCGCGACCTGGCGATGCAACACAATACAATAGAGGAACAGGGGAGTTGCTAGCAAGTACCACATAAGCTGTTTCTTCTCTAAAGCGCCGTCGAAAGCTTTTTACTTACCGTCCAGACTGTTTACTCAGCTCACACAGCAAAACGCCGTAATCGGTCCGAAATCCGCCACCGTCAGAGAACCAGCGGTATCTTTCTAACGTTCGCTGACGACAAGAGAGACAAATCTTTGTTGATCTAAGCTGGCTATCCGAACAGATCTGCTCCAGCCAGCGAGCCAAGCTGCTTTTTAAATCACATTAGCCGGCATCGTTTCGCCGCAGGGCACCGAGCCGTGACCAAATTCGCCGTGAAAGTCAGTGTGTAAAAGTAAACACCGAGCCTCTTACCTCCACAGAGTCCAGAATGCATCAAATGTGGTCAATGGGGCTCTCCGACATGAAACAAAAATGGCTCCTCAGTTCTGGTGAGGCGGGTTTTGGAGTGGCTGATCGGGAGAGGAGGCGGAGCTCCCGCTGACGTAGGCAGCCTCACTGAAATAGCTAAGCTAGCTAAAACCATCTTAACTAAGCGCCAGCTTGTTCCTCTCTTTCCCTGGTTGGCTTTGTGTTTTAAGACGCTGCTAGTGTTTGAACATTTCTGAGAAAGCCTGAAAAAAATTATAAAGCCATTTAGTAAGTCACACTGATGAGAAAGGTTTCCATAGTTATGACTTACTATTTCACAATTATGACTTAGCATCTCATAATTATGACTTAGAAACTCTTAATATGGAGAAAATTTGATACATGAGGTACTAAGTCATAATTATGAGATGCTAAGTCGTAATTATAAGAAGGTAAGAAAGAATTATGAGATACCGAGTCAAAGTTATGACATATTAACCGTCCTATTATATTTAGGGTCAGTTTTTGCAAAGAAACAGAGTGTCTGACATAAACTTTTAAAATTTTTAATTATAATAATTTTGTGGAGGTTTAAATTGCTGGGGTCAAAATGACGCAAAGGATAAACACGTTTAAAAAAATTTAAAGATAACAGGAAGGTTAAGTCATAATTATGAGATTGAATCTCTTTGTTATGAGATATTAAGTCATACTTAAAATAAGCTAGGTCATGCTTACAAGATATTAAGTCATAATTATGAGACTGAATCTCATTATTATGAGAAACTAATTCATAATTATGAGATACTAAGTCATAATTATGAGAAAATAAGTCATACTTAAGATATTAAGTCATAATTATAAGATATTAAGTCATAATTATGAGAAGGTACATCATACTTATGAGATATTAAGTCATAATTATGAGAAAATAAGTAATGAGATATTAAATCATAATTATGGAATTGAATCTCATTATCATGAGATATTAAATCATAATTATGAGAAAATAAGTCATACTAATGAGATATTAAGTCATAATTATGAAATTGAATCTCATTGGTATGAGATACTAAGTCATTATTATGAGATATTAAGTCAAAATTATGAGAATGTCATATGAGATATTAATTAATAATTATTGTGATTGAATGAGATTGAATCCCATTATTATGAGATACTAAGTCAAAATTATGGAAAACTCTCTCACCATTTTTTTTTCCAATGGCAGAAACAGCTTCTATACAATTCCTCTAATGACTGGTTAAAATATGAATGTGTTTTTTAAGCCAGAATGTAAAAGGGAATTTCACTAATTTTTCAAAATAAAACAACACATTAACATACATTCATTTATATATTTAAATGTATAGGATAAAGAGAGGTTGGGAAGTGTTCATGTAAAAATCAATTATGACTGTTTTTGGTACTTAAAAACACACAACATTTATTAAAAAAAGATCAAATACATGAAAATTGCATTTAACCAATAATATCAAAACCAGTTTTAGGGGGAGCACTTCCTATTTCCCTCATTACACAACAAAAAATGCTGCAAACCGCTAGAGGGCGCAAACGAGTGAGTCCTTAGTAAATGGTGGTGAATGAAACTAAACGGCTAAAAAATGAAAAGTTAAACATTTCTTGCCGCTTATGTTGGGAACTTCTTTCATTTTAGAAAGTACAAAGATGAATTCCAATAAAAAAAATCAATGAAAACTTAGCAGTGTATTTCAGTTTTTCTAAGGCAAACAGGCAAATAGGGAAGCAGGATGTTAGCCTACTCACTACTCGCTACTCAGTGCTGATTGATTAATATCACAAATGTACATAAGAAACTGTTAGAAAGTAAGAAAGTCCTGGAACTGGAGTTCAAAAGTGCTCATGAATGTGATAATGTTGAAACATTTTGAAATTTTAACATTTTCTGCCATATAATAATAAAAATATTATAGCAGTGCAGAAATGTTCTCTCGAGTGCTTTTTGCTCACCAAATTACCATCACAATGGTAAAGCTAACTTTCAGCATCTCTATGTGATTTCCTGTGTTGTGTTAGCATCACACTAATGGTAACACATGTTCCTTTACTCATTTTCCCTCAAGGGTTTTAAGACTAATAAGGCAGGTTTACTCAACATAGGCATTTGAAGCATGCAAGACATTCTAACATAATCTTTACTTTCTGTATTGACGATATCTTGGCTTAACTAATCAGATTTTATGACCAGAACTATTTGTTTTATACAAATGCAGTATAAAAGCAGAACATTTTTGTAGGGAAGATTAAATTACAATTGAATTACAAATCCCACGGCTTAGTGCCGGCACTGCTTCGTGGAAGGTGTGACAGTGACATCATCTTGCGCCATGTACTTTGTAGTCTGTTTTGGGGAAACACTTGTAAAGATTGTATTTCTGTCTTTTTCCAACAATTAATCATTTTAAACATAGACATAGTGCTCAATAACACTGAATTTGATTTTCAATTAAATAAATGACTATGCTGTTCTGTTCCTCCATCCAGTATTAGCATGAAAGGCTTGAACTCTTGAATGATTGCTAATTCAGTACACTGGGTGGCTCTGTGTGCCTTTTGCTCACTAAATGAGAGAGAGGAAGTCTAGCCATTCACTTATAACAGCACAAACAAACATTATGGGGATCTACACCATCTGCTGCATCAAATCCTCATTCATTTCTCCATATAGGTGTGATAATGTTTGATAATGGCATAAATATCACTTAAAGCAGAAGCCATAATAAAATTGTCATTATTATAGCCATAAATGCCAACATATTTTCCTTAAACCCACAAACTTTTTACCTTTTCATAATTTTGTATATGCAGTAGCTGTATACAAAATTATGAAAAGGTAAAAAGGCTGCGAGTTTGAGAAAAACATGTTGTTGGCATGTTTTTTCTGTATGCAGTAACAAAGTTATTGAACCAGAAGATGTGCTGTTCCAGGCTGTCAGGAAGCAATCGTCAATGTCCAAAAGCACAAGCATTGTTTGGACTATTTTAATGCTTACACTAAATATGAAGAGGATTTTTGCAATCAGAGCTGGAAGCGAGAGAGAGCAGACGTGAGCTGTGTGTAGAGCAAACTGTTATCTAAAAGCTTTGCTATTATACAGCGTGGCTGTGGCCAGCTGTTCAATAAAGCACAAAGACTTGTACTTCAGCTGTGCCTTCTTTAATAGCACTACAATGTGTTTCATGAAAAAATAATTTATGCAAATGAATACAAAAATGAATACAAAATTCTCAATGTTACTTTGGCTCTCATTGCCGGCTTCAGTCCCCTGCTGCTCTCATAATCGTACTGCCCTTTCATGACCTAGGCCAACAACTGGCCATATCCAAATAACAAAATCTCAAAAATTTGACTATAAACTGAGTAGCTACGTGATTTTCAGTTAACAATATGAATGTAACGTGACACAGAATTCTTGTCCACTACTAATGAGACTGTTCACTTCAGTCATCCCTCAAAAGCGTTTACTAACACTTACTAACTGGCTCATCACAGTGATTCATCAGTCTACTCAGGCTTTAGTAGGAACTTCAGTGTTTGTAAAGAAGCCATTTTTTGAGTGTTTTTAGAGTGAGTCCTTACATACTGTGTGTTGATTTTGAAATAGTTAATAAACAAGCATTGATGGTGTTTTCAAAGATGGTGTATATACATTTTTATTTACTGGGTAAATATGCTAAAAGTATTCCCCTAAAAATGTAAAAAGTAACTATTCTGAATACTGCTTTTAGAAAATGTAAATTGGACTGAATACACATACTTAATTTCTGTATTCTGAATACATAAAATCCCAATACTTGTATTCCAATACATCCCAACCCTGTTATGCAGTGTTCTATAGTGCAGCATTGTATTCCTGAGCCTTATCAGTTTGAACAAATGAACAATTATATATACTGTGCCGTTCACCACACAATCCGCTTTTCAAGAGGAGCTCAATGGCATGCAAAGCTGCGTCTGGCTGCGCTTCCTCCCTCCGTTAAAAGGACATTTGTTGTTGTTAAGATGTGTTTATGTGTTGGCTGTGTTTTATTCTGTTCTGCTGTGGGTTATTTAGTGTGAGTTTAGTATTTAGCGTCAGTAGATGTTTTATGACTAGAACTGACCTTCCCTTCTGTTCTCGCTGTTATTCAGTGGCCTCCTCTTTGTTCAATAAAAGAGCGTTTTTCGGGAGCGGGAAAATGGCACCCTCTGGTTCTTCTTCTGAGCCGACGCCACAATACTTTTCATGTTTTTGTTTATCAATATTCTCTCACTACAATACCCAGCATGCATTACACAATATGTTTGCATTAAACAATATGCCATATTACCATTGGGAATCCCTGTGGTGTCAACCAATTGTGACTGCTAGCCATGCCACCGAGCTACAGGCTAATAAACACAACCAAGCTAGCTTTACAGTAACTCTTACTTCAGTCATCCAACAAGGCGGCTTTTTCTTTATCGCAGAAAAAAAATCTATGGAAGAATGCTTGTACAGTGCAGTATACCTAGATGTCAAAAATAAGAAGAGGCATGTGGCACATCCACCATGATTGACTAAGAATAAGAGTCTTGACCTTCACAAAGGAGTCCATAACCAAGATGACTACACTTTAATCATTCTGAATGGTATCTAAATGTGTAAATGTGTTGTTTTTCAGTTTTCCAAAAAAAAGCTAAACTTTTCAAAAAGTGGTTAGTGGCTATTAGAAAGGACAATGGTATGTTGTTGAGGAAAAATATCTCCATAGCTTTGCTCCAGATACAGTACTCAGAAGAAAACAACAATACTGACAAGAAAAGGCACAAAATCTTTTACTAAAAATTAAGGCTTTCCAGCAACAAGCATTAATCTTGAGTTGGCCCAGGCAACAACCGATCATCCCACCGGATCAGTGGATCACCATTTCCAAACTTCATTGTTCTCATCATCATTAACATCACCATTTTTCTTATCAAAAAGCCAAGAAGTAATATATTTTTGAAAATAATCGCAGGCCGAGGCCACTCTCAGGCCAAAACTTCAAACTTCATTCGCTTCATCTATTATTTTGGATTTATGTGCTCCTTAATCTATATTTTTAGCTACATATGT